TTTTTTTTTTACAATTTTAAATCTATATACCCAGCTTAAAAAACTCATCGCATGGACGAGTTTAAGAAAATTTCATAACCCAGCTTATAAAATTCCATCTCCACGAGTAAAAAAAATCACATCCCTCATCTATCGTAACAACTTTAAACGTAAATAAATAAAAGTCTAATTACTACTATAAATCCATTATCTATATAGATTTTTTAAAAATGTAAATTTCACCTGTCTCATTACTAATATTTTAGATACTTTTAAATATTATTTGTATAATTTTTTTTTTACACATTTGCTCTCTCTCTCTCTCTCTATATATACATATATGAAAAAGTTAAATGAAGAATTTTTAGACATATTTTCCTTACGGGTGGTTTAGAAAAATTTAGGTAGCTTCAAACATTATTTGTAAATAATATAGAATATTTTAGATGCTTTTATAGATGTTATAAAATATTTTAAGTATTTTTAAATATTTTAAGTATTTTTAATATTTATATATCACACTTAAAAAGAATATTTTGCCAAAAAAAAAACATTAAATACACATTGTAAATGTTAATAGAAACATTCTTCAGTATTCATCTTTGATTTTGTCAAAACAAATCTTATAAAATCAGTGAAGTCAAAATTTGTACGTAAAGTCTATCTATACTAAAAAAAGGTAGATTCAAAATTCTTTACTAATTTCTTTTTTTCCTTATCTAATTCATTCTTATTATCTAATTGTATATAAATCTGACATGATTTTATATTACGTACTACAAATTGTGAACCCGTGTTCAGGAGCTACTTAACCGGCAAGCTATGTGGAAATAACTCATTTAGTGCTTCTGTCCCGTGCATACGGTATGTATTTGTATTACACATACTAGAAAATTGTGCACCCCGTGCATCGCACGGACTCTGTACTAATAAATGACCTTAAAATTGTGCACCCCGTGCATCACCCGTGTTCACATTTTGGCCTATTACAGGTCACGTACTATATATATCCTGTACATTTTTCTTTATTCATTTATATAATTATAAAACTTGATAAATAACCTTAATTTTGTGCACCCCGTGCATCGCACGGGATCTGTACTAGTTTAACATAATAAGATGGCTTTGGACGCATATAGATTGCCCCGCTTAGGAGTTTAAGTCCTTATTTTGGTGCAAATTTTATTGGTTGTTGACTCCATGTTTGTGAAGTTTTTAATCACTAGTATTTGACCTATACATTTGCACAAATATAAATAAATTATTGTGAGTCTGTACATATAATGATTAATTATTTTTCTTTCACTTTTTTGCAGACCAAATTTACAATTAATAGAGTTGGAATATTTTCTTTTTTTAAATTGCGTTTATCTGATTGGATGTAATGTATATTTTGGTACGTATTTTATTTGTGAATTATTTATTATTTATTTAGGAATTTCAAATATATTCTTTATTTTTTTTTAAAAAAAATTAAATGTAACAACAATAATAACATCTAATCACATTATACGGTCAACACATTATATGGTCAACTGTCATTAATCAAAAGTTTAAAATGATTTTTGTAATTTTGAAGTGATGAGTATTAATTATTTAATGATTAAATGAAAGATTAAATACATCAAAATGTAACGGTTTTTGGAGGAAAAATTGTTAAATTGCCACATAGGTAAAATTAAATAGGTTTTATTAAATTCTATTAGCTAATAATTATATATATAGATGATGTTGCCAATATTTTCATGTTACCAAAATGGTGTTCTTCACTTCTTTTGTTTCACATCATAAATGGAAAAATAGGAATTAAAACTCGCCTCTTAAATTAAAGTGAGCTAAATAAGTTTTAAATTAATTTATGGTAGTTACCAAATATACTACACATATTAAGCAAAATAAATAATTAAATTGTAGGTACTATTCGGAGCTGGAATTAGCAGCTTCTGTTATTATGCTATGATCTAGGACCCAATTTCGAATTAGTTAAGTCATTCGTACTCCTTAAAAAAAAAAAAAAAAAATCTATTTGGGGGTGCTCCCAATAATTCCAATAGTAAACATTGAACCGACATTTCGATATACCCTGCCCACTTTAACTTAAATAATAAGTTTTAATTTTTTCTACTGTTCCTGAATTAATTTTAATTTATACTATGTCTACATGTATTAATTAAATAATTTCTGTATATATAGAGAGCATCTCTCTAATTCTGTTTCAACAAACCCCTCATTTATTTTTGACCCTTTGTTGCACAATTGACCTTTACATTATTATTTCCTGTCTCCTCCTGCTTTTACTTTGTTTTTCATCATTTTGTCCGGATGTATGTTATCAAATCCCACAAATTCTTCTCGTCCGGACACTATAAAATTGAGCCATAATTCTGCTCCTTGCACTCTCTTTCTCTAATTCCTGTAATATATATATATATACTATTTTTGTTTCCCAGCTAGCTTTCATGGAGCCTTTGCCTGATGATGCTAATAACTCTACTTGTTTAGATTTAACCATAGCCATGCCTGGCATAATCTCTTCTTCTCCACTATCTTTCCCATCTTCAGGTAATCAATCAATTTCAATTCCATAAAACTTTTGATCCTTTTTGGCTGTTATTTAATTATGAAATCTAATTCTTTTTTTTTTTATTTTTTTGAAATATTTACAAAGAATATCTATGTTGTGAAATTATAACGTCGTGGTTCGTTTTTGTATGAATTATATATATGTAGTTGATAAGTTTGGTTAAATATATTTTTACATAAATGACGTGTGTAGGGGAAAGTGGTGGAGTGGCAATGAAAGAAGTGGACATAAATGAAGCACCCTTCGAAGAATGCATGGAGGAAGAAGACGATGATCACGAAAGCCCAATTCCAGGCCCAGGCCCAAGAAAGAAGCTCCGTCTCACCAAAGAACAGTCCTGTCTTCTTGAACAAAGCTTCTTACAAAATCACACCTTAAACCATGTACATCTCTGCCCCTCCTTAAAAATCCAGAAATTAAATAATTTATTAAATTCGATGACGTAATAATTAATTAATGTGCAGAAACAGAAGGACATTTTGGCCATGGAATTAAAATTGAAACCAAGGCAAGTGGAAGTCTGGTTTCAAAACCGTAGGGCAAGGTATGGTGGCATATACTATATAATTGAATCATTTAATTGTTACATGTGTCATTTAAGTTACATGTGTCAAAAGTACTGAATGCACAACAGCTAAAACCAGTAACGTTTACTTATGTTCT